TATAAGAGACACTTTCAAGTATTACAAGACTATTCTATGGCAACAGTAGTTTTTTCGTAATATTAAACACCCCTGGATCAACTTCAAGCGCAACAGAGAACGGTACTATCCACTCAAATGTTCTTGATCCTGGAAATTTTAAAAGACGGGGCATCTTACGTCTTCCTCCTCACTCTGGATCATCCTCACCAGCCGTTGTACAGCATAGGTAACATCTGTAGGAAAACCAATGAAAATCAACACATCTACGTACAAATCATGCAGCAGACTTGAACATCGTGTTCTTTATAAAAGTTATATCACAAAGTAAAGTACGTAACATAACATGTGGATGTGATCTCCCCCAGTTATTGTGTAGGCGTGACGCCATACCGAGCTGTGACACACATGGCTATCCGTGTGACAGCATGTGGGAATGACAAACGACAATGACCCCAAAATGCAGTGTCAGCATGTCGACATTAATATTAGCTCTTAGTGACACCTCAGTAATATTTTATATGAGCAGCTGTTAGTTTAATATCTAACTATAATCTTAACCATATTAAAACAGTGGTCTTAATCCATGATACCAATATGCTGAAATATAACCAATACGTGGCTAATAACGTTAAATCTATTTAATAAACGAAAATAATGCCAAATTCCTTATGACAAGGATTAACGTACTCCCGAACAACAGCTTGTGGCTAATCCTTCCTATAATGTGCCCAATAGTTCCCGATAGCTCTGTACTTTCACACCTTCGACATTCTAAGGACTTGTGGGCGTTCTCTCCTTTTATAGACTAATATCACATAATAATACAGTTCAGTTTACATGAACTAAGAAGCTAAAATAATACGAACGTATCCCACCTTTAGCCGATTGTTTGTAGCAAATGTAAGAGACTATCACCTTTAACTCCTGAGTTGATAGCGAACACAACAGAGGACTTCCGGAACAATGCATTCTGGGACGTGTTGTCCTTCAGGTCTGTCCCCCCAGACCGTGAAATTCCGTACTCCATAGCGCCGTTCTTAGCCTGTATGCGTTCACTACCCCAAGTGTAGAACCCTAGAGATAACATTTAAGTATGAATTTAGCTTTAGTTTACCAGAGGTACTGTAGTGTACACAGGGGGCGTGGTTAGATATTCTTGTCCCCTCTGACAAGATGTCACCCCTCTGTACTTTTTTGCTTGGGACAGAGGGGCATTCCGATTATATTTTCTCAGTTGTGGTGGTGCCCTGGCGGTACATTTTGGGGCTCCTTTAAAGGAAAAAAAATGTTCAAACCGTCTAAAATGCAACAGAAAATAACAATTACATGTTACACTTCCTACATATAACTAGAAGTTAAAATCACACAGCTGACATTTATGCCCAGCACAAGATGAGAAACAAGCCCCCCCACCAAGAAAACAGGATTTGTGGGCGTTTGTTTGCACAGCAATTGCACCACCTTCTGCCCAGACTAATGATACTCTTCTGTATGAAATTTGGTTAAATCTCTTGCAAGAAAACAATATATTAAAATGTTCCTGGGATCATTTAACCACATATTTCAAATAAGTATTTCCTTCTTTTTACAATAAAATATTAACACTTATATCCTGTTATGCTAGAATTTCAGGGTCAGTAATATAATTATTTACTTAGATTGCATTCTAGCTTTTAATTTAACAGCTAATTTCATATATAAGGGGGCCCAGGCTGGGGAGGGGTTCTGGCCTCATCCCTGGTTTAGAGCATTTATCAGAATTATTGTGAAGGAGGATGTACATTTGGGAACGGAGAAAGACAAATGGAGGACTTCAAGTGACTTTGGGCTTCGTATTACTCATGCTCTCTATCTGTTTAAGCTTCTTAAGAACTGAATATTAGGCATTTATAAACTGAAAGTAAACATATACTCCAAACATATACACTGATAGCAGTTGGTATTGATATAATTCATCTAATTTTTTTTCATGGACTTTAGGACCATTAAATTAATGTGACATTAAATTCATAGGACTAATGTGATGCTTTTTTCCAAGCAGTGTTTTGTTAAAGAAAAATCTGAGGCAAAGATTTTAGATGATACAGGCATAGCTAGCCAGACTGTATGTTATTACATATTTTATTATGAGGAAACTCCATTTCATATCAAGAGATAGTTATTGGCAATCCTGTATCGCATAGCTTTATTGTGAATGTCGTTATTAATAATTTTCATGAGACACTGAGCAGGATATGTTGTGCATTGCAGAACCTGTTTCTCATTTTGGATGGTGATAATGTTCTATTGAAGATTATAAAGGATGTGGATTTTAGAGAATAGGAAGGAGTAGTACATTGACAATGGAGGCTGTGGAGCTTTGAGCGCCTGTAACAGGGGTTCCCAATCAACCTCATGTTTTCTAATGTAGGGGCACGTGGGGGATAAGAATAGCATGAAGCCATACTGGAAATTCCATCCTGATGCAATCAACAGGCAATGGGAGTGGCAGACTCAGAATGTTAGTGCAAAGGCTGAACACTGATCTCAGTGTCCAACCACAGAATGCTGTGGGATATTGGGGGCGCTTCGTGGCTCAGTGTTATGTGGCTCCCGTGATCAGAAAGTCAGCGGATTGAAACCTTAATCCCAATAGCTCCAAAGGGCACTGGATGCTGGCTGATCCTGCACTGCGACCCCCCAGTCATGCTCTCAGCTGTGTGTGTCTTATGGAGGGCCAGATGGACAGTTCCTCAAACAGATACTGTAAATAAAGTATCACCGTTTTATTCATGTGCTGTTGGGGCTTGGTCACTTGTACAAAAGCCTGACTGGATGGCAGATCTTGGTCTGTATCAGTGCTTCTCTGCTCTTGTGGATTGTCTGTTGAGGTGGTGTGAACTATACATGAAGAGGTGAAAATAAGGAAAAGCAAAGAGTGCGATTCATGACGACATTTGTACCAATGAATCTTTGAACTGATTGTTAGCTCTAGCTTAGTTTCAAGATGATAAATGAAAAATAAAGACCCTCATATTACAATCTTGTGCAGTGTTGGGAGATTAATGAACACAAACATGACAGCAATAAAACAACATTTTCCCATCATACTTGTACATCATCTGGGTTATGTCGCTTGAATACAAGATTCATGTTGTTCATGTTTATTTTTGTAGGAACCTGTAAGAAATACATCACGATGATAGTGAAATCATCATTTTTATCCCTTTTGCATGTGGCTTACTGCCTGGATTTTGGAGTTTAATGCAAATCCTGGGAGACATTTTATAATAATTCAGGACCAGACTGCAGTGCCATTTCAAAGCAAAAATGATTCATTGGAGCCTGAGGATCACAAACCGGAAGAATACAAGAATGATCTTTTAAACAATCGTTTTGAAACACCAGTTAACTCAAAATTATAAGGAATGCATGAGCGGATATTCAGATCAGAAAAATATTTATGTTTAGTGGATATATATTAGGTTCATGATAGATGCAATAGTGTTTTTGTTGCATTGCCTGGTGACAAAAAATGGTTTGGCATGTATGGAAGGATTTATATTAAAGCTAATGGAGGATTATGCATTGTTTTTCTTTTTTGTTTTATTTCTTATGCTCACGTCTCAATATGTCATGTTTATATTACATATTTATTTTCAATTTCCTGCTATGTGTTGTTCCCTGCCTTGTGCCCATAGCTTCCAGAATAGGATCCAGACCCCAGCAACTCTGAATGGGACAAGTGGGTACATAAAATTGATGGATGGATATTCTATTTGTTTTTAATGTGGCAGGAACCATACATAATGACTGGAATGTTTTGAATCTGTGGGACAATCATCTGTGGCTATAATAAACTGCCCGGCAGCCATGTGCTCAGTTGTGCAATGCAATTTCATTGCTCAGAGACTCAAACATTTTGTGTCTTATGTCCTGCTCAGCATCATGTTCCTACTTGCCTAATCAGTATCACACTACAAGATACCTCCTTGCTCTTCACGCGGACTTCAGTCTAAAATTAACTTTGCCAGCAGGAGACAGGGGAGAATGAAATGTGCAGGAAGAGTGTCATCATAGGAAAAGTAAGAACACTTTTCACTGAAACTAAACGAATTGCTGTAGCACTAGACACAATGCTATAACTTTTGATTACCTTTTAGGGTCTATTTTAGGATGAATGAACCACTTGTTAAACCAGCACCATTGCTCTTATGGCTCTCTTAGACGATGACATGTTTATTCTTTTTGGCCAGTGGCCAAGAGATATTTATAAATTGCTAAATATTCTCACCATAAAACCTTGCATGATTATTCATTATTCCTCAGCTGGAGAGGAACAGATAAATCACACACGAAGAACAGTTCTTAGCTTGGTTATTTTACACTCAGCTCTGAAATATCTTTCAGATCAAATTTGCTGAAATGCCTTCCGTACTTCTCATAAAAAACATTTGACAGTACCACAGTAGTCTATGGTGTACACCACATTTCATTAGTAGGGAATCTACTAAATAGATTTCAAACACATATTGTTAAAAATAAATTAGATTTTAAATGACAATATTTATACAAAGCTGGAAGACCATATAGGAAGGAGGACTGCTACCTCACTCCTCCAGGGTCAGTGGGGCAAAGTCCCACCTCTGTAAAGGTGGAATGTTCTCCCCATGTCTCCGACTGGAATCCAAAGATGTGTGGTTATGAAACCCGGCATCCTCAGAGCGTGGGTACCCTGCTATGTACTAGCATCCTGTGTTCCAAGGAGTGGTATGTAGCTCTGCAGGATAGGACTCAGTGCCCAAAAACATCTTTAGTTCATATCCCTTGGCTGGCAGAATGATTTCACCGTTGGGCCCTTGAGTAAAGACCTTAATCCCCAGTTGGTCCTAGGATTGGCAGACCCTGCTTTCTCAGTTGGATGTCACTTTGGATAAGGGTGTCTGCTAATTGTGTTCCCATGCCTAGTGCTCTGGGCAGCCTGGGATGGGCTCCCCGTAACTCTGTACTGGATGTGTGCTTGAAAGACAGATGGAAGGACATCATTGGCTGGTCATTTCTAATGCAACATGCTTGGAGGATAGCACAAGTCACTGGAATCCTCCAAAAGCCATATAGGCAACAGTCCATGACACTGCACAAAAATAAGAACCAGCTGGCTAATCCACTTGGCGGAATGCAGGTCTACTCTCTTCGCTGTGCTGTAACTGCATAAAATATATTGATCTATACACAAATTATCAGGGAAAAGTAGGACATAAGGATATACCCTTGAAGGATGCCAATCCATTACAACAAACTGACATATTAACGGCATAAGAGCACTCTTCACCATACTCGTTGGACTATTGTTTGAGGCATACAAAAGAAACCAAGGAAAATAATAATAATAATAATAAAAAAAAAAAAACTTAACTGTTTATTTGCATGAACATACCCATATCAAGATCTTTCCTCTGTTAACAGATACAATATCTATACCTTTCCATGTTAACAGCCCAACGAATTCATGGTTGGAATAGAACTGCTGATGAATAACAATTAAACCATTGACTGATAAATCACTACACCACCTTTTGTCTTGGTGGTGAAGATGTGGTCTAAATTACGACGCTTCATCCTTTCTTCATCCCACTCTCTTCTGCATACCATTCCATACCACTACAAAAATCCAGTGTTTTGTGATTTAAAGGAAGATTTCCATCTTTGGAGCTTCGTGATTTTTTTAAGCCTTCCCAAAAGCTATTACGAAACTAAAATTCAAATGAAATTCAAAATTCATTAACATGAAAATACTGATGTTAAAATAATTCAAGCTAAACATTGGCTTTAACAGGGTAACTGCATTTCTTAAAAATATGAGTCACAGCACAGCTGACTACTCATAACTGCATTAGTATAACAACTGTGAAAGAAAGAATATTTCTAATAGAAAAGAAAGACTCCTGTAAACCAATCATTTCCTTAGGGAATACATTTCATATTTTAACATCACAATTCACTGGTCAAAGAAAATAAAAATTTTATTAATGATTAAAACAATCCCAGATTGCCAGCAAACATTTCAAAGTAAACCAGAAACAAAAAATGTACAACCAAAATGAAACAGAATACTTTAAGAATATGAAAATAAGAAGAAAAACACAGAACAATAAAATATATACAAAACAAACAAAGGACAAAGTGAACAAATGGGGACACAAGGAAAAACGGCTTTGGAAAGTATATTGAGTGAATTCTTCAAATACACACAATTCAGAGAATTTTTTTCATTTTTGTTGGTTTTAATATTTTCATTTTTTCTGACAAAAACACAAACCCTGTAGTATCCATTCATCCATCCATCCATCCATCCAATCATCTATCCAGTTTTTATGCCTTAGTTGTTTTTTCCCCCCAAAATAAAGACAGAAACATGTGACATCAGCAATTCATTTCCTTTTACTGCAATAATTGTATTTACACTTCAGACATTTCATTTAAAACAAAAACGCACTGACTGATGTGGGGCTGCTGATGATAATGAAGATTAAATTATGGATTTATATGCAATTCAAGCGAATGACTCGCTCTTATACTTGCTAAAGCTAATCTTACTCATTTATATTCCTTTTTTTTTTCTTATAGCGAGTGACATAACCTCCTTAGTACTACAGGAAAAAGCACTTAACATAACAAATGCAGGCTTGACTTAGACAACCTCACAATTAAACTGACGCCTATAAATTACTGAGCATAGCTATTTGAGTGCTTGCACTGACTTTTACAAGCTATCCAGGCTAATCCTTTGGAATGCAAATATGCAGTGTAGTTTGACGACAAAACACTATTCTCAGTATCCCGCAGAACACAACACCAAGCCTTGTGAACAAAACATAGCTTATTCTAAACTACCACCAGGCTTGTGTGGTAGGGTACCAGGAAGTAGGTTGGGGAAATGAGAACAGACCCAAATAACCCAAGTCACAAATTTGTTTCGTCTCCAATAAGCATGTATGTCTGTAATATGTGCCACCCTCCAGCAGCCTGTCACCTGACAAACAGTAAAATTAACACTGGATTAATATAAATAAATACACTCTGCATCATGTCCTTTCCTGATGTTTCTGCCTCTACACATGCAAGCAAAAAAAGTGCTTTACTTTATTTCTATCCATAACAATCAGAAGTACTATCTGGCAAAGTATCTTGAAAGGACTGACTGCTCTTTCAATTAATACAGGGTTTCTTCTCCATTTGAAAACTGGCAAATTAACAGTTTAATATGCAGATCAACTGTTAGGTTTAAAATAAAAAGGCAGCCTTCGTCATCTGTATTCTTTATGTTAATTTATGGTGCATAGGTTCACTCAAAAGGATAACATGATACAAGTACTCAATAAGGAGGCTACTGAGGGAGAGATAACGTAAGGCACAGGGCTCCATGCCCCACATACGGGGAGATGGAGATGTTGGGTGGTGGTGGTGCACTGGCTTCTATCCTAATTCATAGAAAGTATCATCAGAAGGTATCCAAACTGGCTTGACAATACAGCAGAACAGAACTTCAGTGCTCTGGGACTGACAAATGCAACAAACAAGGCCCAGGCTGGCCATCCCCAAAATCCTCTCTCAAAAGGTGCTCTATTAAGACGTGCAACACCTTTTTTAGGGTATTGATCTAAAGCACAATCCGGTCCATTCTAAGTGGTCTGTGTGAAACCGTATGGGAGGTTTGCCCGAGGACCAGCGCTTGCCTTTAAATCTAGTGCAGTAAGTGCAGGAAATGCCTGATACGATGCAATAGAGTGATGGGAGTTGCGACAGAGAGATATGGAGAGAGACCAGCAGACCATGGTCGAAGCGGCAAACAGACAACAGTGGTACATACAAATAAACAAAGGCTTTTATATCTGTAATGCAATGTGTGCTTCCTCGTATATTTTTCCTTCTTTCAGTCCAGTCTCCAGTTAAGCCATGCTTTTTCTCGGCCTAGCATGTCCATGAACCAGTTGACTTCTCTGTTCATCTTCCCGCTTCTACATTAAATTGCCTCGGAGATCCTTGATTCGGAGGAGCACTACATTTGAAGTCTCTGACACAATGTCAGCATCTCTGTCCTTTCTGCAGTATTAGCATGGTTGAACCATTGCAGCATTGTCTGCAAGTTGTCCTTTTTTATTATTAAAAAAAAGGAACCCCATACAACCTTTGGTGAACGTTGGCTATGTCTCAGGAGAATTACTACCTTTTGCTTCACTTTTTGAAAAGCAATTCATACATATCTGGGTCAAACTAAATCCTTAGATCTTAGACCTGAAGTATCCCATTCCCCCTTCTTTATGGGTGGGCGTGTCAACTCATCACGGGTACTACCATGGCATATTTGCCAACTACTCGGGAGAGTAACCATTTAAGTACTCTTCAAAGCTGGCCCACAATGTATACCCTGTCTGAAGCAAATTCAATCAAGCTGATTGAGTCTCTTTCTTCCTAAACTTACATGCCATACATTACATGACCATACATTCTTCTGCCTAATTAGTTTGCAGGATCCAGTTACGGTTTATTCCCGAACAGTTCCATTAACTTTTGTTTTTGATTGTTTACTTCCTGTTCACTTAATTTCTCGAAACAAAATGTGTAGGAAAACAAAGCACTTGTGCTTCACAGTTGTTTACTGTTAAAGTGCTGGAACCAAAAATCCTGAAAAACTAAAGCAGGAAGAATTGTTAAATTCCTTGTTCTTTGAGTCTGGTCAAAGTAAAAGTATTCACCCCATCGACTTTTTTGGTGGTACAAGAAAGGAAAAGGATGCAGGCTCACTTCTTTTTGTCTTTCTGCTTCTTATCGGGCTTGCGGCTCTGCTCGGTTACCATGCTGCGGGGCATTACTAGGATGCTGCCGTCAGGGCCGTACTGAAGAGAGTATTCGCTGGCAGGGTAGGGCCGGCCATCTTCATCCCGCAGCTGAGTGAACACCTCCTGGTACAGGCTCTGCACCTTCTGCTTCATCTGCCGGATGGAACGCACAAACTCCATTTTCTCCTTCAGAAGCTTAGCTTTGGTGCGGCGCAGGTCATCCACCCCTTGTTCCAAGTTTAGGATAGTGTCCAGCTTGCGCTTGCGGCAGTTCTGTGCTGCCATTTTGTTCTTCCCACGGCGGCGAATGTCCCGAATAAGGGCCAGCTGGGCCTCACTTAAGTGATGCTTGGCAAGCAATTCATTGAACTCCTCCACTGGTAGATTGATAATCTTGTCATTAGAGAAAGGTATCTTCATAGCACGAGCACGGCGCTCATCTCTGCTCGACTGCTTGTCCAAGAAGTCCTGCGGGGACTGAAGCTTGGCTTGCTGCTGCTTATCACGGCTGGTCTTCTTCCCCACAGTATTAAGTGGCTGTTGATGTTCAGGGTCTGAGCTGGGTGACAGGGGAAGGTTGTAGGTGTGGTTGTGGCTAATGTTTTCCAGCTGGGGAAGATTCTGGAACTGGGAGAGGTCCTGATAGCTCATGCGGCAGAACTTGCTGTATTCAGGCTGGTAGCCACCTACAGCACCTTCCTCTAACTCTAATGTTGCTTCGGAGTCAGTGGTATAGCCTACAGCGCCTTCCTCAGAAAAAGTGGCTGAAGTGGTCGAGGAGGAGGAGGATGAAGAGGATGAACAGGAGGTCTCCGAGCTGCTGGGTGAGGCAGGACTGTGACTGGAGTCCAAGGAAAGGCCAGAGTCTGAGTCCAGCTCATCCTCAAGCTGAAAGGCCTGGGCCTGACTGAAGCCCTCCTCCATGGCCAAGTCTAATAGGCTAATCTCATCCAGCATGGCTTCCTCTAGTAGACTGTTAAGAGGATCCTGCAGCACCGGTGTACAGGTGATGTTGCTGGTGCCATTGAGGAGGGGTGGGAGGAAGAGACCCGTCAGGTTAGTGGCCCCAAAGGTAGAATTGATGTTGGAGGAGTTGCTGGACGAAAGGCTAAGGAGGGCAGGCTGATGTGGGCCAGAAGCTTCAAGTGTGGATGGAGAATCTAACTCTGGGCCAAAGAAGTGTGGGAACTCCTGGCTACAGCTGGGCAAGGAAGCCTGATGAAGACTTACATTCTGGTTAATAAGAGTAGGACTGGAGAGTCCAAAGGTGACCAAGGAGCTTGACTCTATCCCACTGTTGTTATTACTGCCACCATTGGTGTTATTACTGAGGAATGGGTTATCTGCAGTGGTGTTCACTTCCATGTCCTTCACAAAGCAGACGGGAAAAAGTATGGTAAGAAAAAAATAATCATAAACAATGCACAAGAAAATATTGCAACAGACTATATATCTTTACCTGCAGCTCCATAATGGCCATGATGTCCTGCCACTGCTGTTCCAAGTCAAGGGAAGGCTCAGCTTGGGGCAACTGGGGGGGCAGGAGGCTTTGAGAAGTGGAGGGGCCCTCATGACTAGGTCCTCTTAGCTCTGGGGTCCCAGTATCTGTAAACTATCAGCACAAAGAAAGAAAGAAAATGAAACACAATCCTAGATTATAATGAAAGACAAACCACCTGCCATTGAAAGACATTCGTGCCTTATGCATGTAAACACTTAGTAGCGGATAAACCTGACAATTTTACCAGTTGCGTTAGCCAGCAGCAACACAAAGGCTACCACTGCATACTTGTTCCAGAACTGAATGATGAGCTCCAAATGAGATAAGAGCCGATAGGAAGACCAACATAACTCCATGCACAAGTAAATCCCTTCAGCAACAAGCAACTGTAAATTTAAGTACATTTCACATAAGTAGTTATGTCATGATGGAGGAAAGATGAATGACCTGAAAGGCTTGATACACAGCAGACACATTATTAATGTTTTTCTAAGCCATCTCAATTGTGGAAGTTTATATTGAGAACCCGTTGTCTCTTTTTTTGCCAACAGAACCACTCAGTACACCAAAACAAAGCAAATGAGCTCTACTGTTCAACCTAATCCAGTTTAATAATCACAAAACATCCAATCACATGTTCATTTATCCTGCTCGGGATACATTGTTGAAAGATGGAGGGATAGATAATCACATCTAATCACAAAAAAATAAACTGTTATACATTTTGTATGTATGCACATATTATATAGTTATACATAAGTGATAACTTAAACTTTAAACTTGTCTAAAGCCTTAAACTTGTCTAAACATCTTTAAAAGGTTAGTGTATTCACATTGCAAAAGCAAACACCATGCACAGTGCACAAACAAAAGACCTAATTAGTGTAACAAATATATAATCGTCAAGACAATAACCTTTGTGAGTAAAACCATAATAGTTAACATCAAATAGAACTATAAAAGCTAATTTTCAATAATGGAAAACATGAATTCTTGGTTTAGTAATTATAGTATATGAGGTCATTTATTCAGTAAATGCAGCAGTGGGATTAAAATATGCCCTTGAAACAGAATTTATCTAGATATAATTAATTAGTAGAACCCAAAGAATATAATGAATTTTTCTTGCATTATCACATTTTAATGTCATATTCCAATCCATCAGTATGATCTTATTAATCTTTTACAAGTGTATTTAAATGAGAGAATAATTAACTCTTGTATATCCACCTATCTGAATCTCACGGATAAACTACAAAAATTATAAGGTACATGGGAAATATCGAGTCACCCTGCACTTGTAAACATGCTTGTTCATGCAAGTATCTAATGTGCCAATCATGTATCAGCAGCTCAGTGCATAAAATCATGCAGACAGAGGTCAAGAGCTTCAGTTAATGGTTATATAAAACAATAAAATGGGAAAGAAATGTGATCTAATTGACTGTAACTGTTGCATGGCTGTTGGTGCCAGATGGGGTTGGTTTAGTATTTCAAAAACTGCTGATCACCTGGGATTTTCTTCGCGGTTTTCTAGTTTATCCAAAATGGTGAAATGAACATACCGTGAGCAGCAGTTCTGTAGGTGGAAACACCTTCTTGAAGTCAGTGAATGGCCAAGCTGATTCAAGCCAAGAGGATGGGCTACAGTAACAAACAGCTACACTTCACAATGGAACGAGCAGATAAGACACTTTATTGATGTCAAAGGGAAATTCTTTTTTCAATATGCATCTCCAAATGCACAGCGTTGCATAACCTTGAGGTAGATGGGGTACAAAAGCAGAAGACCACATTGGGTTACACTCCGTCAGGCTGAGAACAGAAAACAGAAGCTACAGTGGGCTCAGGCTCACCAAAAATTGTCAGTTTAAGATTGGAAAAACGTCATCTTGTCTGATGAATGTTTTGCGTAAACATCATCAATCCATGGACCCAATCTACTTGGTGTGAAGAGTTCAGGCTGACGGTGTATTGATATGCCCCCAACCTACAAACACCAATCAAGCATCGCTTAAATACCACAGCCTCTGAATATTGTTGCTGATCATGTGCATCACTTCATGGCCACAAGTTATCAGTCATCTAATCAGATCTGCTCAATGTGCAACAGTAATATCAACATCGTGCATTATATGCACATGCAGTCGGCAAAGGAGGACAGCTGGGTCAAGACAAAAAGTTACGCTAAAACATTTATACTCCCATCATAGATAATAATAATAATAATAATAATAAACTTAGAAAGCTTTGCAATTAATGATCATTCCTTTTCAAGATTATCTAGAATAGGATAAAAAAAATGCTTCTGCATGAGCTCTGCATGCGCCAGTCATTGTTGTCAGACTCACTCAAATAGCCTGGTGCATTTCTGAGAAATTACACAAAAATGAGTGAAGAGGAGAAAAGCGACCAAGAACTGGTCACCAAAAGACACTCGACTTCTGCTATATGAAAACGGTTTGGAATCTATAGACACGATACTGAGCAAAGGCAAGCGCTCCGTTACCACTGCTGTGCGTCTATTGGCAACTCGTGGCAGCAGCATCAACTTATTTGACAGACTGTAATGGTAAATAAGTTCTATTTAGCTAATTTACTTCAGGTAATTTTTGTTTTGTAAATATCACAATATTTAATGCAAAAATGTCAAACATTGTTACATAAATTTTTCCTGGGATCATGGCAGCTTTATTTTTCAGATGGATAATGCAACACTTCATAAAACACAAGTCTTCTCAAACTGCTTTCATGAACATGAACAGTCTCCAGTCGTCATATCTGAATTCACTTGAGCTCCATTGATATGTGTGGAACAGGAGATTCACAGCAAGAACGTGCTATCGAATCTGTAGCAGTAACATGACGCAACCCCATCATCATGGACCAGAATCCTTAAGGAAATTTTGCAGCACCTTGTTGAGTCCATGCCACAAAGGAAGAATTCAAGCTGTTCAGAGAGGAATGGAGGTCTTATCCAGTATTAGAATGCCATTTCTAATAAAGTGGCGGGTCATAAGGGAAATGAATAGTACAGCATCAAAGTACCAGCTTCAGTCAAGGTGGTTCGTCGTGTTCATCAAGTTTCACAGCCAACCGGCAATGCAGGTTCTACAACATCTCACTAATAAACCGTCTACACAACAGGGCCCATTAGCGCCATACATTTGCTGACATTTAAATTGGCATTTTCCTGAACTATGCATTAAAACTGTCAATGCAGCACAAGCTAATTATTTTGTATAAGCATTATAATTTCCTATTAGTTTACTGCTAAAATGTAAGTTCCCATTATAAAATAAAACCTTTTGGCAACAATGACAGCAAGCAATCAGGATCCGCTTCACTTACCAACCTAAACAGCCACAAACAGCCGGATTTTTACAGTACTGATTAGTTTACTACACGAATAAGGATGCAAGTTATTGTAGTGTTGTATGAAACTCTGCTACATCAGACAATGGCAAGCCTTTAGAAATGCCTTTAATGACACTCACTTGACAATAACAAGCTGCAAATTACAGATACGTTAAACAAATTCAAATTATGTTGACTAATTCATATCGTTTAAGCAGGTATGACTGACGTGGTTTTCATAATTTGAATTAATATGCAATGCCTGGTTTTAGACCAGCATTCCTTAACCTCCACCGAAACCTGCAGAGGTATTACCTCAGGCTCCTCTCCAAAGGGAAATGTAGCTTCCAGCAGCCTCAGGCACTCCTGCAGGGACAGTGAGGTCTGAGCCCCCAGGCTGAGCAGCTACAGGAGAAGACAACACTGATCACTGATCTCACAAAACAAGCGGCACAGGACGGCCAACCCTGAGACGACAGGACCGACTTTCTGGGTAAGTCACACATTCATCTGTTTCATCATACTGCGCATCTCCCAAAAAAAAACAAAAAAACAACACACACGCACGCCAAAAAACAGAGACGTACACCATTCTCTCTGTCATCCCCTTCCTTTCGACTGGCACACGCGAGGAACTTTCAGTTTCAATTCCAGTGAGTATGCAAACTGGTGCACCTAAACCGGTGTTTATTGCTGTTCTGAATTTCCACTATGTTCTATTGCAGTGCTCTAGACGTACTCTAACAGGGAAGTCTGCCAGACAAAAACAGCTAGAGCTCTCTACACATCTTGACATGTACATGTAACTCATCCATCCATCCATCCATTTTCTGAAACCGCTTGTCCTATTCAGGGTCACGGGGGGTCTGGAGCCTATCCTGGAGGCTATGGGCGCAAGACAGGGAACAACCCAGGATGGGGGAACAACCCAGGATGGGGCGCCAACCCATCGCAGGCCACACACACACACACACACACCATTCACACACACATGCACACCTATGGACAATTTGGTAACTCCAATTAGCCTCAGCATGTCTTTGGACTGTGGAAGGAAATCGGAGTACCCGGAGGAAACCCCACGATGACACGGGGAGAACATGCACTCCACACACGGAACCTGGCGGAGACTCGAACCCAGAGGTGTGATGTCACAGTGCTAACCTCTGCACCGCCATGATGCCCCGTAATTTAATTTTGTTTGTTAATTAGTTATGTAATGTAACGTAATTAATCTTATGTAATCTGACAAATCTTTTTCTTAGGGACACACATACACTGAACATCTGTGTGTCATTCTTTTTAGTAAAACCTTGATCTTCAATCACATTTAGTGTTCTTGATAATGAATATTTGCAAAACCCCATTTATTGGTGATGTCAATAGTGAAAATTAGTTCAAACACTAACTGTACTGTCATACTGGCAACCATAATTATAAGCACTCATTAATATTTTTGCATATGTACTAAACAGACAGAAATATTAACTACGTATCGATAAAAGTGCAGAAGCGTATTTTCCTCATATGCCCTTTGACATATATTTACTTCTCAAATTGCTTTAGCAAATCAGTTTTTCATTTTATGATCCAGAATGTTGCCAAATAAAAAGGAAGCACAACAAAATACCACAGTAACAGTGGTTCTCTGTATTTTTTTTGGAAAAAAGTCAGAAACTAAGTAACAGCTATTAACTCAGGTCTGAGTCACGTTTGTGTTGGAGGCTACACTTGAAGAACCAGCAGAGAATTCCCAGAACAATGTTGGCATTTTTAGAGCACTTAAAAATAGTCACCAAAGAATTAGTACTGGTGTGATTTAATATGTCAGCACATCAGTCACAATACAAATAAACAAAATGACAGGGACAGCTCATGTTTTATAATACGCTGGATACTTTCTTACTATGAACATGGCATTAGATGAGCTGGATTTACTATATTATTTATAAAGCTGTTTTTTTAATAAAAATTTTTTGATATATGCTTTACATTTGAAAGCGGATAAAAATACAAATCCACCCCAACAGATCCGGAAAACAATCATTCATTCTAATTGTGCACATCATACTAATTGTGAACATCTAAACTGTATCATTTAGACCTGGAAAATCAGTATTTTCGCCTTACAGATGGAGGACACAACTGCCGCAAACCACAGTACTGAAAAACTGAACTAAAGGCCCATTACTGTCCCAGAAAATGATATACGTAGTACTGAATATTGGTCGAGTGGGAATTTACTATCTAAAATTTAGGAGTGTGAAGTTTTTAGCACAATTTATTGTCCCGAGTCCTGGATTTATCGCTGCAGTTGGGCCACGCAGCTGGGTGAGTCCCTTTATCTTGAATGCTACAGTAATAATGGGACGCTGTAAAACGGGGGCCACAACCAAGCTGAGGGCGTTATAAATTGCCAGGAACACCGAGTGCCTAACAAGAAAACAGATACTGTCCCATAATACAGTGTACACAGGAAGTGGATGCTGCATTTAATTTTGGGCCAAAGGCACACAGATATTTTCAAGCTCAGGGTGATTCATGACTTCTTACCTCCTCAGGTATGTTTTCCCCTGTCTCGCCATCCACCCGTGTGTGAGTCTGCCCCCCTTGTAGGTTGATTCCATTCCTCCAGCTCTCTTCCCTTTCCACACCATCCTCATTCTCCTCTTGGGGGCGCTTATCCACTTCACTCTCCTTTTGGCGGCTGCTGTAGTCAAAAACCTCTCTTCCAGCACCCAGGTCAATATCTTGGCGCCACAGGATGTCAATCAGATCAATATCCTTCAAAACAAACATGAGAGCTGAGCTACAGGCCTCCAACACCCACTGCAGTAAAGCCATATTAACCGCTTAGAACACTGTTTCCCAGCCCGGTCCTTGGGCATCCACAGCTGGTCCTGGTTTTTGCTCCCCCCGACCTTCCTGGCAGACAGTCCACATGGTTGAGCCAAAAACGTGGACTGTCTGTGGTTCTCCGAGGACTGGATTGGGAAACACTGGCTTTTAACCCTACAGCTCTGCAGAGAGTATTGACATGTACAGCAAACTGTACATGTCAATATAGGCCATGTTTGACATTATTAAAAATATATTTTTTTAAAATAAACCAAGACATCTGAAAAGTTAAAATCAGAATAAAATTTGGCAATACAAATAAAAAGCAACAACAATATAATGGCAGTAAATAGAGTTGATTCTAGACTGACCTAAGAGAATCCATGTTTCCATCCCACAAATATTTTAAAATCGCCAAAAGGGGCAGCATCTGAATTTTGAATGTCTGTGAGTAAATCAATATTTCTAGCAGAAATACGCCAGCCCTCATTGACGTGATACTTAGCAAGGTACAAAAATCTGCCAAATAAAAATTTACACTACACAACTTTTATGGAATTAGAAATGCCCCAACAAAACATACTGTCTGAAGCTGTGGATCCCAAAGGGGAGCTTACAAGAATTTCCAGAATATTTAAATAAAATTCCAAAACATTAAAACAGGACAATGTGTGTCGTAAGTCTACTGCGTCTGTCCTCACATGAGCCCTGGAGTGATTAGCCAATGAATTTACGATATGTAGCAACATCAGCTGCAGGAAAATTTGCAGCGCCATGAGAAACATATGAGAACAGTATGTAGGCAATATTTCATTTTTACAAACAAAGATAAAATGTTGGTTAATACAGAGTTTTGACAAAAGACACTAGATACACTGATGCTGTTGGGATCTACCTACTTATGCAAAGACTTTCTCAGTGCTAACGTACATTAAAAAACAAAGATCCCAACTAAATGTGCTGATCTCCGAGTGGCCATCTCCAAAATTAAACCCAGACCTGACTTCATAAGGTAATGTTATTTAATGGCAAAGCGCATACAGTGTTTCTTTTGTGTTATCAAAGCGATGAGTCTATGTACAAACAGACCTATTAGCATGTGCGCGACATGCTTCAACCAGCTAGAGGGGCTCATGGGTCTCTGGCACCGTTACTTCAGTGGTCATGGCTGAATAGTTTGGGAGCCCATGGTGCAAAGCAGGGGTAGGTAATCTTATCCAGAAAGGGCCGCTGTGTGTGCGGGTTTTCACTACAACACTCAAATTAGATTACTGATTAGAGGACTGATTGCCTGAAGAGTCAGACTCACACCTGGATTTGAACAAATGACCTAAAGAATATCCCAAAAACCCGCATACACACTGGCCCTTTGAGGATAAGATTGCCCACCCCTGGTCTAAGGTATAAAAACAGCTCAATAATACAAGAGCTGAGGGCCACAGAAAAAAGAAACCACAACCTAATTTCAGAACATAGATCCCTTTGTTGCAATAAGGAAGACAGAAACTTAAATTTAGGCTTCCATTAACTTTACCAATATTATTCTCATAATAGAGGTGATAGATGGAGAAAAAAAAAAAAAGAGAGAGAGAATACATTCATATATCCATCAGTCTTGAAATTGCTCATCCTGATCAGGGTCACATGGGACCTTGGAATCAACTCAGGCAGGATTGGAAACAAGGCAGGGGTAAACTCTGAATGGGATGCCAGTCTGTCTCAGGGTGTGCATGCACAACAAAAATGTATGGATAATTTACATAGCTGCACATTTGCAGGACTGTCACTCCACGATGAACACATATGTGTTTTAAACAGTCTATGACTTACTGCTTAGGACACAAACATGAGGCTGGCTTAGGTACCTTTTACAGTACACTGTAGTATAGGAATTGGGAACTCCCTGTATTTATGAGACTCTTTACCCTACTAAGATAACAATAATGCATTTTAATATTGAGCATGATTAAAAAGTGTATTTTCATTAACCAAAATAGCTTTAATTGTTGTTTAATTGTTTTTACAGAATCAGGTTCTTGGCTTAACACAAGTATATCTATAAAACTGAAAAAAAAATTACCATTCAGTTTCACTGTTATATAATATTGCATATGGGTCACAATACTGCTTGACATAAAATATAAACTTTTGAAAAATTATGCTTTTAAAAAATTAGCGGGTTGTTGTAAGGTCCTCCATTTGCCCCTCTATACATGTGGACTAGAGCTGCACTAATTCAATATTCATATTGGTATCGGCACTGATCCAGACCAATTAGACGGATCGGGTATCGGCCGTACGTGACCGATCCACGTCTGATGCTTGGTTATTTAGTTTTCAGTAGTCTCTAAAACGATGGCTCATATTTCGTGGTAAATCTATTTGTACAATCACTCACACGACAGCTCTTCCTATTTTAGATGTGTTTTTGCGGCATTCAAGCTGAGCGCCAACGCTGCCACTCAGTTTTTTGTAACTCCGCCTGCTGTGACGTCATACGCATACTGTTTGCAGTACGAGGAGCTTAAGAACATCAGATTGAGTGACCATCTGGGAGTATTTTACGCTTTTAACAACAACTAGTAGCACAGATTTGCAATCTTTGTAAAAACAACGTTTTTTGAGAGGTGGGAGTAGTGTTTAGTGGAAAATCCCACCAAACAAAGTGCACGCAATTGTGAGAGACAACGCGAGTAATATGGAAAAAAACGAAGGATGATTTGGGGGTCGCAAACTTGGGCTGTTTTGCACAGCCCCTCGTGTAAGTGACGCTGTTACCATTGGGAGAAACATTGGGGGACATTTTAAGCATTCACCACATGCTTATACTTGGATGATGTTCATACTGAACTGCAAATGCCTCAAACGCTATAAACAAGACCTACAAACAAGGTGGAACAGTACGTTATGTGGGTTTCTAGAAGCCTAATTAAAGATTTTTTCGCATATGTTTTTTCATTAGTATTTACCAATTAGAAAATATATAATGTATAAATATTTATTATATGTATATTTATCATATTAAAATAAAGCAAAAAGAGCTTGTATCGGAATATGTATCAGTATCGGCAGCTGTGTATAGGAATCAGATCAGAACTGAGAAAATGTGTATCGACCCATGTCTAACATGGAGCAGATATTTCTACAAGCATGTCATTTTTTTAAATTGAAAAAAAGAGAGGGGGGGGGGGGAGACATTACTAGAGCGCAAACAGATCTTTAAGCTCTATCAGCAGCCATAACTCTAGCAGTAGAACTTTGCAGAGGGATGTTACGCTTCTGCTTTCCTGGAAGCAAATATTATGTAAAGGAGGATCACAACCAACCAACAGTAATTACATGTACAACAATACATTTAGCAAAGCCAAAGAACTCACTGACGCACCATCAAGAGATCGAATGTAGAGTAATGAAAGGGACTGATCATTACACAAAGGAAGCCTAAGGTTGCCTTGGTGACAAAGGGAAGCCATGGCAGGGAGGAGACGTGATTTAAGACGGCGGGCAAGTTCACATGCCCTACTATAAATGCATCTCTCTGCAGTCATTTGTCAAAACACAAAATTACAGAGGTCCCATTATAAAAACAAGTTCCAAACCAGCACAGTCAGTCACGCCCAAACTGACTTCAAGTAAGGGCTGACTGCTTGATATCACATGACAACGTCCATCCAATCAGAAGCAGGAGCTACAGGAAGTAAGTTGGTAGAAAAAGAGATTAAGTAAATATGTCAGAAGAACAAAAGGTCTGATATCAAACAGGAGTTCCATGTTTCCAATAAAAACGCAAGCATAGGAACAGGAAAAACAAACAAAAAAATTATATACATATGTATGTATGTATGTATGTGTGTGTGTGTGTGTGTGTGTGTGGGGCTAGGACTTACACTGTCGATAAAACTAGTAGAGAAACAAAATGTGAAGTATCAGCTGTGAGGTCAGCATAAGTGGCCATGCAGGCGGTATGCTGGACTCAGGAAGGGCCTGTGACAGATGGGCTATGAGCCGAGGCCCAGAGGGAGGCTACCTGCCCTACGTACAAGCACACATGCGGGGCCAGGCGCAGCTTCAGACAGCCTATTGTTCCATGTAAATACTGTATAATTATTATAATGGTATAATTACCAATCTCATTTTGCAGGCCAAGGATGAGGCAGGGCATGAGTTAAAATGCAGAATGCATTCTCTTGTACTCCAGGTGAGAGGTGCTCTCTTTAAGGTAAGTGTAAAAGGGAGCTTTGTCCACCTTCTTGAATCTACATGGGATGCAAAATCTCCTTGTACTGCTTGGGAAGAGAAAAACTCCACACTTTGAAAATGTAATTCAGAATGGTCGTTTCAAGCGATTTTTCTCCGAAAGATCATACAGAAACATCTCCTACGTCTGTGAGGCTCTAGGAAGCTTATAGAAATTCTGTAACGTGAGCTCAGGAACTACACCAAAAAAAAACAAAAAAAAAAACAGAATCCCAGAGACACACAGATACATGGTGAATTATTACATACTGCAGGAGAATAACTAGACACCAGTTCAAACCCAGATGTTTCAGATAACCTGAGAAACCATGAATTCTACATAAGTGAAAATTGCAACACAGCTGCTGACTAGTGCAAGCTAAAAGCACAGCTATGAATCATATTTCCAAGGTGCTTGATGCTGTTCAGTTACCTCTTTTCATGGTGAACAAATATGCTGATCAGACTTAAACACCGCCCATGCCATCATGCTAAACAATATACAGTCATACCTCGGCTCACGAACTTAATTCGTTCGAGGACTCAGTTCGTGACCTGAAAAGTTTGCAACCTGAATGAAATTTTTCCCCCATTTAAAATAATGTAAATTCAAATAATTAATTCAAACTGCAGAAACACTGAATTTTTTCAATTTTTTTTAAATGTTTTTCTGTGACCAAGAATATAGACTTAAATTAAAATAACCTTAAAGAGCAAAAAAAGGGGGAGAACATACTTTTACAGAAGACGGATCAATACACAACTGAGCATACGCTTGTTGGCGTTCAGGTTGCTCGAAAGATGCCAAAACACGGAAAAGAACCACAAAACATCCCCCCCCGAAAAACTAAACAATTAACATTAAAAGACTGAGTAACAGTCAAAAACAATGCAGTAATTTCAAAAATGTGATTTTTCTTTTTATACTGTACATTATTTTCACATGCCTAAAATTTTTATGCACATTTTGTGATGCCACGCGTTGTATGGCGAACTTCTTTGTTTGTACTGTAAACAAACAATACGCAGTTGCCACAGTGTGTGAATGAGAATGTAACACTTAAACAGGAGTTAATTTATGTTTTTAATGAAATACTGTAATTTTATGTAAAGATATGTGACTGTTAAAAACCATCACAAACAAGTTTATCAATCACTGAACAGTAACACTATAACAGCACGTTCTCTGTTTCTATTTTTTTCTTTTTTCAGATATTCAACCTCTGAAGTGATATAGTAAAGACATACATCTACAAGTTTTTTATATGTTCCACAACCGTTCTTGGGCATAATGTACACTTTGGGTGGTTCTTTGGGGCGCTTTTAGGGGATGTTTGTGCGTTCGCAGCCTGAAACACGGTTCGCGAACCAGTACAAAAAAAATTTTGAACATCTGGTTTGTAACCCGATGACTGTTCGTGGGTCGAGGTACTACTGTATACACATGCCACTTGCCATTATATTCATGAGCGTGGCAATTCATTCTTAAAAATGCACATTAACAAATCCTCCACTTAGACAGCCACACCCAAAGGATTGCTGCAAATATGTATAGATCCATTATGAAAAGTACCAAAAGAGGGAGTATGCCATACTAGACTACCTCCATTTGAAGTTTTGTGAGGCACAAAACACATAACGCCCTTAAACCCTTAAAAGTATCTGCTGTCAATCACTCCTACCATGTACAACGACAAAAAAAAAAAAAACAGAAACATTTCTTTTACTTCACATCATCTGTTTTCTCTTTCCAGTGTTATGGTTCTCCATTTGCAGTAAGACATCCCATGCAAAGATTATTTTCACTGAGTGAGGTATAATGTAAGTCTCTTAAAGAGAGTGTGACCCCCCCAATGTTTTTGTCTATGGATCCTAAGTCATGTTTCCGGAAAGTGCACTGTTTGTTATATTATTGGACTAAAGTCTTAGTTAATACTGTGTTTCCTATTATGCACTGGCCGCTGGGAAGTCCCTGGGTTCCGTCAGAGATTCCTGAAGCAAGGAGAATGTTACCACTGCATACCTCTTTGCCTTGGGAAGTTTCCCTATTAGAAAATACAATGTTCAACCAGTTATATCGTATTCTACAGCAGGCTGCCTCAATTCTGGCCCTGGGGGATCAGAATCCACCAAAATTTCCCTGCTTAAACACATTTTAATCAGCTAATTGCCAGGTTTAGTAGGTGTATTTGAGCAGGGAAATCTGCAAACTGTGTTGAATTCTAGCCCTCCAGGACCGGAATCGGGGAACTCTGCTCTACAGAAATCAATTCCGCTTCTTCAGCATAAACTTCCGAGAGTGAAATGAAAATATAAGGAGTATCTGATGTATAAAGTGAGCCTCTGGACAAACATCGGTATGGTACTGACTCCGCCCACAAGCGGGGGCACAGCATGTCTAGAGTGCACTCTGACTTTTTTATAGCAACTATCCGGTCTCATGTGACTCAGAGGCTTGGCTTCTGCCTAAGAGCGTCCCAACAAATAGCTATGGAAAGAAATACAGGAAGACACACTAGTGCAGCCGTCCGGTCTGCAGGCATCAGTGCGATTTATATTGTTCTATAAAATCTGTGTGAAGAATTATCAGGCAAGGTTCAGATGCGACTGAGAAACAGGGGGGCTGGACACCACCCAGAACACACACATGCATAACCCAGCCCACAAATCAGTCACCCAAGATGGAGTCTCAAAACACCACCCAAGCTGAATGGTACATTTTAAATCCACCACTGGAGGAACCATGAAGCAGCATAAGAATTCCTGATTTCTTTGTGTCTAAAACAATGTCTGTGGTCTGATTTTTAGATGCAGTTAAAGAGGTTTCCTTTGGGTGTTACTTAGACTGAAATAATTTGATACTAATTATTCAGGTCTATAGCTACATTGACACAAAATTCACATTCACTGAATCCAAAATACACTGCTAAACTATATCCTGCACAGATAGCTTAGAAAGTGGCAGACATTCATACAAGGAGGACTTCAGACAATGACTTTACCATAACAGTTCTGACAAACCCCCGAAAATTAAAAAAAAAAAAAAACAAACAAACAAAAAAAAAAACAGGTCTGGAACACCTGTCATCAAATGTCAGCTGCACTGGAAAAACAAAGACAGCCTGCGTTCTCCACAGAGGTGTCTGGGAACACATTTAGCAAATCAAATGAGGGGACTGGGGCCCAAGCACAGGGCATGTCTGGGCAATGACATTCAGAGGACAAAAAACAGGCAACCACAAACCCTGCCAGTGTGCCCTAGTGTGGGAGAAAATCTCAGCACCTCATAACAGGGCCAAGCATGCTAGCTAGGGAGCTTCTGATCAAGTCCCAAAGCCAAAGACACCCTGATTCTTCTGCTTCCTGTTTCCAGTTCAATTTCCTGTTCCCATCTGATTTACAAACCAACGGTGATGAGTTTTCTTCTCCCTTCCCCCCCCCCAACTGGGCACAAAACAAGGTTCTGACATTAGAGGCACGATGTGTTAGTTAGATTCATAAACTGATTGCTGCCTTCTTCAGGTATGACTGGACAAGCTCACATAGTGCACAAACCTGAATACGAACATTCTGAACCAGAGGGAATACAGATTACAGTGGTCTATTGTCATAATTAAATTTTAAGGTATGTGTCATCAGGGGACAACTGCAAGACAGGTCAACATTACATTTCCCTGAATTTGAGTTATATTTAAGTTACATATAACAACAAATATAACCCAAGTGATCAGAAGCATTTCAATTGTGTGTTATGAGCTTTGCAACTTCCTCAATGGTTTTACAAAAATGATATATAAACAAAAACTGAAAACCACCATCAAAAAGCCCCCACCGGTTATTCTTCCACAGCACTCAGTATCTTTATGAGATGCACCATTTTTAAACTAATTAAAAATAAGTAGAGAATGTTACCTTGTTGCCTTGCTCACTTATAATAGGCTACAGAATTTAAATATTTTCTTGGTGACTTGATCCCAATCCATTCGTCAACAAGACTCACTTTGCAAGGCCTATGTAACATGTAAACAAGTATTGGTGACCTAGTATGTAATGATAGGCTTAAACATGCCAAGCTCCCGTTATCAGATGTCCCTGTTGCTCAACATGGTGTAACAGAACACTGTAAAACAAATAGGCCACTGAGAGTTTCCATCACTAAAAAATATATTAGTAAAATATGTAATTACTATTTTTTTCGGTAAGACCATGGAGAGTTATTTTCCCCTAGCTGTACCAACTGCAACTATCCCAACAGCAAAGATTGAAAGTGAAACTGCTCAAAGTTAATCAAATGTAGGAGCAATCACAAACACAATGGAGAATGTGCTGAAAATTAAGGCACGATGATATTCTATTAAATATGTTACTTTTGCCTTAATGACACTGCTCACCTATAGCAAAAACAAGCTGCAACATTCCTAATAATCACAAACCTGAAAGCAGGCCACAATTCAAGCCAGCAGCTTTCATTATTTCCCAGACCCTGTCTATTTGCTCAGTAACCCTCTGCTGTACTATGGTCGATTGGTAAATAAGTCCAGTCAAGTTCGGCACATATTAGCAAGAACCACTGTGCAGGAATGCAAGAATTTATGCAGAATTAATTACTCACCCAGGTATGTGCTGATTAATTAACTATTAAATTATTCAAGAAGCATTTTAACCATTTAAAAACATTTAGGAAGAAATCGGCTTTAGCGATTTCCCATGTTGTACCTGAAAAGGCATTTAGTTCCAAGTTCTGTTACTTCCTCCAGGCTTGAGGGTAACTTACCTCTTTAGTGAGATCATCATTGCTGTCTCCATCGCAGCCACCCTGGTCCTGGTTATCCTGGGGAGCCACAGCTCCTAGATTCTCCTCGCCGCTGATGGTGTAACTGGTGTCAGGTGAACTCTCCCCATCAGTGCCTCCGCCCCTCATGGCTGAGCCCTCGGGGTTGGTTACGTCCTCCAGACTGTTGCCATTGTCCAGTACGATGCTGGGGCTAGACTGACCAGCAACTGACACAACGCTTTCAGGATCACGGTGCACCAGCCAGGCACTAAGCTCAGTGCTGGGTACACGCAGGTGGTCCAATGAGCGCACCTGGTTCAGCAGTCTGCGTGTGGTGAAGAAGTAGTCCAGGTCCACACTCTTGGGATGGATCCCATAGCCATCCAGCGTGTTGCGTAGGTTGTGGAACTGGGTCTGTGTGTAGGCTGAGCTGGGCCCCAGAATGATCTCTCGTAGTGGGGGAAACTGAGAGCTCAGGTAGGTGTCCACATCCACCCTCACCCCAATGAGACTCAACAGGATAGTGAATTGAATCAAGCCCTCTGTGAAATACTTTTTCAGGTAAAGCATTTCTTAGCAAAAGAAAAAGTGTAAAAGAAAAAAAAAAAAAAATACAGAAATAAAAGGTTTTTTTTTTTTTTTTTTTTTAAAAAAACAAGCTCTCTTTAACAAAAAAAAAAGTTTAAGAGTAGTGCCAAAAAGGAAATTTTACAAATTAAAAATGGAAGCTGGATATAGTTATGTGGATTTCATTTAATGTCTAAATACAAGACAATAAAAGATTGGAATCTTCCACTTCTCTCGTTTGAAAAACACTGTATACACTGATTGGGCTGAAATAAATCTGCAAAACTGCTTCCTTGAAAATGGTCTTCCTCCTTGGCAAGGTTTCATACACCTACACATACAGAAACAACAACAAATACAAATTCAGCCCATTTTGGAGTGAACAATAAGGCATCATACAATGAAGACCTGAAGTGTCTAAATTATCCTGTGTGACTCTTAAGGCAAAAGATTAAAAAAAAAATCTCATCATAGACCTTATAACGAAGGATATCTTTACAGGAAGATGAAGAACCACTTTCCATAGCAGTCTGACCTACTTTTACTAAACTTGTTTGTCATAATACTTTCTTTGCTGTTGGCAGGTGCCCTTGATGATGCAATCTGACCAACTCCTATGTAATAGCCCCACCTTTCCAAGCTCAAGAAGTTATACTATGTAATGAAACCACACATGCACCACCAATTTCCCTACATAAAACTTGCTTCTTTATTTCAAGTTATTCAAAAATATGCTCGATTTAAATACCATTGTAATATATCTATATGTGATTTCCACACATCTTCTGCAATGTTCTTTAGAATATTTTCTTTACTAGCATTTTATTTAAGCAAGAATAAAATGTTCTAGGGTGTGGAATGGTCATACAAGATCTACATCAAAGTTTCAACAATACTTACACATAAATACAAATGTGTAAACACCATACATACCAAGAACAATCACTTAAAACAGTGAATACTAAAAGTAAAACAATAAATATATTTCAATTACTTATAGTAACAGCTATTAAGATGGTTCTTTTCAGCAGACACATCCTAGCTAGTTCAATAAAATACCACTCAGATAAAATGTAACAACGCCATATTTTATACATATTAAATTCTTTACAATAATCAAAAAGTAAAAATTAACAAACATCTACATTAACACTTGTAAACATAACCCCATGAAAACCCTGCAAACTCTACATATCAGTTATTAGTATCACTGTGCAAGAAAAGATAAAAGCAAACAAATATAAAAACTATTACAGCAGGACAAATAAAATTTAATATATGCTTAGAATATAAACTGAATCTTGCTGAGATTATCACCTTTCAAAGCTCGAAGGCCCCTTCTTGTTTCCGTCAAAGAAATCCTTCAAGATCCACCTTTGCCTGGAAATCGAGCATAAACGTAGAAAATCATTGTTTTCCCGTTTCGGTGGTTATAGTTCACAATATGCAGCACTGATATCTAAGCTAGCTAAACTGTATCAAGCAGGTTTTTTGCCGTGTCGCAGACGAGCACGCATTAGCTTACTACCAAGACCTATAACCATGCGTTAAATGCAGAGCTATCGATATGTTCTGGCCAATACTAAAGGCTAAATCGTTTCTTCACAGAACATTTTTACTAGCTAGCTTACTATACTTCTTAGGCACCAGGCTCTTGTCCGTTATTTTGATGTTTCCGGAGGTTGTTGTGAAGGTGAACTGGCCAGCGTGCGAATTTATTCACTGTTTCTTTCACTCTGCATCCCCTCCCTCTAAGTGACGTGCAGTCTCGCTTTTATGTCCCCTCCGGTCCCCTCACTTCTCGCATTGCCAATGCTTTCTGTTCCGAGATTGCCCTGATGTTACAGATTCAAAGATGCATGTACCTTTCGATATGTCGGTACAGAAGGCTATCACGACGTATATCGCTTTCCCCAAACAAAACACAATTTGCCGAGGACCAGGAAGTAGTGAGCTGGGTCGCTTCCGCCATCGGCGACACGCAGCCTAGCAACAGGTGGCGACAAGGTGACATACAGGCTTTCCAGCCAATCACGGTTTAAGGAGGAGAGGCATTTACCGGATTCTTACTATTTTCGACCAATAAAGCAGCGAACGGGGTGGGACATTACAAGTGCAGTGTGAGTAACAGGGGAAACAAGGATTTTTTAAATCTTATAAAAATGTATTTATACAGTGTGATATTACTTTATGACGTAATTGTAAAAAGTTATCAACATTAGTAAGAAACGATCAACTCAGTACGCATGATAACAAATACATATGGAGCAGTTCCTGGTCGCCCAGCTAGCGTTCTATTTTCCAAAGCTACAAACAAGCAAATGTTTTATAAAGAAATGATCTTAAAACTTAAGTACCTGTTATATGTTGTTACTCTCCAAATATTTCCAGAAATTTAACTTATTTACATGTCGGTAGTTATTCAATAACCGCCTTGCCTGCTTGAACGGCCCACCATGACTTGCAAAATTTCCACCAACGCTCGGCCGGGCAGGCACGTTTTTTAAACAGCGCATGCGTAGAATGTTCCAGTAGCCGCCTTGAATGAGATCATTGCGTCAGACCGAAATCCCCGAATCTCAATATGATACTGTAACTAGTGGAATTAAGTGTAATGTATATATACTAAATGACGCCGAGCGTGAGAGCGCCTCCACAATGCCGCCATCTATAAAAACACCCCCTGGATTTTGCATTTATTGAGCACACATATTAAAACGAACTAATAATATATTAAGTGAAGGCAATGCCAGACATTCTTAAATATTACAAACAAATTGAATTAAATCAGTTGTAAAAATGTGAGAACCTACTGCAAAATGTCAGATTTTTAGTGAGATATGTGATTGGCAAGATAATCTGGGTAAGTAAATCATCAAACTTATTTTAAAGTTAAAAGCAAAAACATATATACATTTCATTGTTAGTGATAGGCACTTAAATGTTCTACACTTTACATTTACGCAGCTATTTGTAAAAATTATAACAAACATTAAAAACCCAAGGTAAACAAGTTTCATCATGTCTTGGGACCAGTTCTATCAGTATTTACAAAGCATGTTATTGGTCTATGCCATTAACCGATTTAATACATACTTTTTATTCATATAGTTGACACTGAATTTATACTTTGTACATGTACAACAAACCAGCTGTTGCTGAAGAAATGTCACGGAATGCTTTGCTTTCAGGTCAGTTTAATATTCAAAATGCACTTGAAACTTCCACATTAAGTTCAAGTCAACAAAGCAAATCTCCAGGTGATCATTTGAAAGTCTCTGACTATTACTGTACCTACAAAAAGCACAAAACAAGTTGCACATCGTAATACATTCCAAATAGGTTGCAGATTTCTCTTTTATGTGATTAGTAAATGTCAAATGACGTGTTTCGTAGCTCATCCAGCGAATATTTCAAGGAAGGAACTCACGGTATAACAGCTTTAACTCAGGCTAAGGATGTGCTGGAAATGTTACAGGCACTTATTTAGGCACCAATATGCCATGTAAACAGGTGCATTATCACCGGTCATAGGATAATTACATTTTCTGTTACCGTAAAGTTACCTGTCATGCATTTATCTTACTTAATAATTTAAAATAAAAATATATTTTAAATATTTTGCAATCCAGAAAATAATGAATATTTTAAAAGTAGTGATCGGTATAAGATGAACGTTTTTACTTAATATGTTCAATATTTTAAATATCTTAGTGGTCATGCACATAAAACTCAGCATTTTCAGGAAATAAAAACGTTTTGTATCCGGAAAACCGGCAGCTTTTACACTAAAACTCACAGTGGAACACTATAACTCCAGAACGACACGTGTCCTTCAATCCAAAACGTCATGAAAGACACCATTGTGGATCAGACTCGCACGCAAAAAGCTGGGAAGTCTTCCGGCCGGAGCCAAAATGGGCGGCGAAACAGCGCAGTTTCGCGAGAACGAAAATGCTCAGCAGAAGACCAGCCCACTTGTGAGTCAGAAGGGCTCTGCGTGGTCCATTAAAATGACAGGTTGAGTTTGTCCACGTCAACACCGAAATAAACTATCATGGACTTTATGGCTCTGGTAGGTAATCTTTGATAATGATGACATTTTTCATGTTGTCTATTTAATAAAATAATCGCTTTTTGGGGGGTGGGGGTGGAATACAAATTGCAGTTGATGGTTAGCGATCAGTTTTGGGGGCTGGCACGGCCACACAGATATCACAAAATTTGTGGAATCTTTGAGCCTGTGCTGATACTTTATTAACAACAAACACTAATGAAGCGAGACACTTTGCGTTTGTAGCGTCTTAATGGAAACGATGTGAAAATGTTTAGCAATTGCAGAAGGTAGAGCCTCCCTATGTCTCTCCTATCTTTCATATATTATATATAGGTATGTATGTATATGTTTTATAAATATGTGTATGTACGCACAAAATAATGTATTCTATAGCTTTTTGTCGACGAGCGACACTGTTGATACGAATCGCTGAATCGCTGATAAGTAAATACACTCAGTCGGAAAAATGTAGAAGCAGATATCGAATTGAAATGAAATTGAAGAAATCTTATTTTATTCAACATTTATGCTTATGTTATGTAACATACGTTTATTGTATGCACTGTAAAAAGTTTGTGTACTTATTGCATGGATGTGACCAAATTATAGTGAGACTTGTAACTTTGAGTGCCACGTCTTATAGTTTTAGCGAACAGCGACACTGTTATTTGCATTAACTACTTAGTTGCAATACGCCGCCTATAGCAACAACAGTGTATCTTCAATATATTACTTTAAATTAAGTGTTACGTTCATCTTCTGAAAAGTATTACCTCAAAAGGAATTTAGATGCAGTTTTTGTTTTACACTTTTAAGGTCCATGTCATAAAATATCACGTGGCACACAGAATTGTGAAGTATATAAGATACGTATCGATTTGGTGAAACTGAACGAAAAGATGATAATGCATTACTAGTTTTCAGATGTATAATTATGATGAACAGACCTAAAGTTCCATTTAGTTCGGGTATCACGTTGTACCATTGTAACCATGCATCTACTGAAAGCTAGATGACTTTTGGTAAACGTTGCATTGGTCTGGACTGTGATGGTCTAGTTCTGCGGTCATATGGCCTCAGACCGAAGTTCTGTGATACACTTAGGCTCTGAGTCTGAGGCAGTCAGTGCATAACAGAACTTTGGTTTGGGACAGCCCAGCTACTGAGGAGAACACAGCTTATCATCATTCCGATTTTAACAGCTGAGCTGAAGTCAGTTGTACTTTTGCAACAGACTTTGTAAGTAGACTGCAAAAGGCTTTTATAGGGTAATGGTATTTTCAGTGATTGTTGGCTAAGTCCCTTGTTTACACATTTGTATGTTAAAATTATTTTCATTGTTAACACAGTGGTTTAGGGGGCACAAACAACTTAGTAACTGAGCTACTACTTAGGTACAAATCATGAATAAATATAGTAAATGAATGAAATACATGAACCACTATGATTGATTAATGATGAACAAACATGTGATAAGTTCATAACTAAGTCTTAGTTTCTGGTTAATTAATACATTAAAAGAATGTGCTACTTCATAATTTGTGCCCCTGCAAGTAAAATATTACCTTTTTACTTGAACATGTGACTGAACTGAAGTATGTAAATGTCAAACAACACTGTTTTTTTAACTGTTCCAAAATTCATTAGCAACCATTTGTAGTAAGTATTTTAGTAAGTCTTCATTTTAGAAAATTGAAATATGTTGCTATACTCTTCTAACCCATAGAAAAGTTACAGCTATAATGTATCTGATTACATTTTAGTTTGAACGTCCTACCCAGAAGATTTCATGTAGACTTCAATTAAACGAAACCTGTCCTCTGTATAAACATTTTAAAAGCATAAATGTCATTAATAAAGTATTTTTATCTAATCACACAGTAGTTCTTAAATATGGGCCCTGATGTTTTTAAAAACAACTATTGGAGCTATTATGAGTTAAAACATTTTAAGATGAAAAATATTATTATTGTTGTTACTGTACTGTACTTACGCTCACTTCTGATGCTAATGACTATATGCATGTATTCCCAGGAACCATCGCTGTACACAGTGAAAGCTGTTTTAATTTTGGACAATGATGGAAATAGACTCTTATCAAAGGTAAAGGACTGTGAGTTTTTTTTCTTTTTACTATAGTACATAATTTTACCTGTAGTTTCTAGACTTCTTCTACTTAAATGAACAGTTAACTTTTGCCGTTCTCCGTCATCTGATTCTTTACTTTATCAGTTCATTAGTTGCTTTCTGTTACATCATTGAATTTGTGTTTTCATGACATTTCTCCCTTTTCAGTACTATGACACTGAACTGTACCCTTCAATAAAGGAACAGAAAAACTTTGAGAAGAGTGTCTTTAACAAATCCCACAAAGCTGACAGTATGTATCCCCTTAATATTGTGTTGATTTAGTTTAAACAACCTTATTCTGATGAACTATGAAAGTTATGCACATTATGAAGTTATGTGGCTTAAATTCCACTGGTTTAAGTGGCTAGCTACAACTACAAACAATTAAAGTAAACACTCATTTCATGAAGAATGCTTAGAGTGTTATTGTTTGTCATGTGGTCTTTCTACCTCATTGAGAATCAGAATCATTTTTGAGAGGAACTGGAACTTCATTCAGTCCAAAAGTTTCAATTTATTTTAGATAAAAGGGCAAGACATTTTGGCTATCAGATTGTTTTGACTAGGTTAGGTAGCTTGGAAATAAAATGCACGTCACTGATTGAGCTCCCATGGCCAGCAGAGTGATGTCACTGTTGGGCCCTTGAGAAAGGTCCTTAACCCCAAATGCTCCAGCTGTGCTGGATGCTGGCCCACTCTGTGCTGTGACCCCCCAAGCCTGCTTTCACTTGTATATGTGTCTGTGGCTGCAGTCGGATAGTCTTTTATTTTTTATTTTTTGCTCAGAAGGGTTCCTAACTGGTTGAAATGACCTGAAAGTATCTGGGGCAGCCACAATAAGAGCCATTTAAAGTCTCTAAAATGCTGAAATGTTTACTTTCTCATCTCCATTATCACAGGGTACAGCGGACCATCCTTTATGGAGATAATTCCATCCCACAATTTATTGGAGTAGCAATATTTAAAGCACCGCACCATCAGCACACATAACAGATCATAGTCAGTCAGCATATTAACCCTAACACAGAAGTCTGTCTTTCATGAAAAAGGGATATAAGATGTTTTTAGTCAGATTTAGTCAGCTTTTAATTCAACGTGTTTGAAACTGAAAAATGATGATATGTAGTGGATTTAAAGGCCTATCATGTTAGGCCTATCTTGCATAATTTAATAATTATTTTCATGCAGTAATTGGGATGGTTGTCGATAGTGTCGAGCAGAAGGAGAGCGTGAACAACCATTCTCATTGTGGCGATCATTTCGTTTCAGTTGTGTGACTGTAGCGCCTATATTCCTTTGAAAATTTCAATTCCAACCTTGGTAATGAAGTAATATTTTTCACAGTGTTGCCCACTTGGATTCACATGGCATACCCACGTCAGTGACATCCGTCGTCACATGACTGCATAGCCTAGTGTAAGTGCAGTCGAACTGCCTTTGAACCGTGGTTCAATTTTCATAGGTCCTTATGATTTTTCCTTCTTACCTTTTCCTTCAACTCATGACATTTTTCATCAAGGTCAAGGAAAAGTGGTTAGGAAAAGGACATTGGAGATACTATTTGACCGCAGTCTGTGTGTTGCATGGAGTTGAAGGTTTACCCGTGGGGATGAAGAATGTATCTCTATTCTCTCACACATAGATACGCGCGCACACACACACACACTCACACACACTCACACAAAGTCATAAATATGTGATTTTGGTGGCAAACTAAATAATGATGAAATCCCGCTATCTTTTTCCATTTCACTCCTTTGACAGATGAGATAGCATTCTTGGAGGGCTTGACTATTGTATATAAGAGTAGTGTTGACCTCTTCTTCTACGTGGTGGGGAGTGCCCAGGAAAATGAGGTGTGTTTTCAAGTTCATTGTTATGAGTAAAATAAGAGGAGGTTGTGATCAGTATGCTGTAAACATGAAAAAAATATTTTCACCTTGGTCTTATTCAAAATTGACTCTTTTTTTTTTTTTTCCTGTTTTGTAGCTCATGCTGATGATGGTTTTAAATTGCCTATTTGATACGCTCAGTCAGATCCTGCGGTAAGTGCTGTGTGTGAGCTGTATCTTCTACACACTTCGAGTCCACTGCTTAAAACAAGACTATAAACATTCCACCTAAATGCCATAAAAATTCATAGATGTGTACAGTTTAAACAATGGGAGCAATCTGTGCATCTTTTGACACGATTAAGCACAATTCAATTATGTTAACTACGAAATTTAAAAAATATTCTTACAGAAGCAATATGAAATTTTTAAAAGCAGCTAAGCCAGATGATTAAATGAATACTTTGCAGTAACAGAAAAATGCCTGTAAAATATGGAAGTCGTGTTGTTATGAATGAATGGATTCTTATTGTCTACACAAACAAATAGCTATGTTTTTAAGGTGTTGACAGTAATGTCTTAAAGATTACCCAGTCAAACTTTAAATGCTGTTTTGGCCTGCATAGTTAATATTAATGATGAGGCAGAAGTTCTTCTCAGTTGTATTGATTGTTGCTGATGCTGTTTCCATAGAAACTAGTGCAGTGAAGAGTACTAGTTGGTGGCAACAACCCATCTCTCTGTTCTACCACTGAGAAAAGCTTTCATGGATTATAATAAATGTTATGTTTCAAGCAGCATAGTTTGTACAACACGAAGTGTCAAACTAAGTGCCCTTTCACTCGGATTATCACAATTATTACATATTCGCATGATCGTAATAATTTGAGCTGTCCGTGATTATTTTTTGTATAATTGCTAGAATCATCTCCATTCATCTGTATAAAAGTAGCATGATGACACAGAACTGTCATATTTCTGTCACTATTTCCACATAATTTTCTGCCTTATAATAATTGACTGGCGCTCGCTTAACCCTTAATCTTGTTATGCTTCTGAACTGATTTGTACAACCTGCCCAATTCAAGTATATATCGCTGCAGCCGGGACCCAAGTGTCGAGTAGGAGGGGCAATGTCGAGTAGTAGTAGGAGTAGGAGGGGCAATGTCGAGTAGGAGGGGCAATGTCGAGTAGTAGTAGGAGTAGGAGGGGCAATGTCAAGTAGTAGTAGGAGTAGGAGGGGCAATGTCGAGTAGGAGTAGGAGGGGCAATGTCGAGTAGGAGGGGCAATGTCGAGTAGGAGGGGCAATGTCGAGTAGGAGTAGGAGTAGGAGGGGCAATGTCGAGTAGTAGTAGGAGTAGGAGGGGCAATGTTGAGCAGGAAATGCAATGTGGGAACTTATCTGATACACCAACCCGAACCTCAACCCTAACCATAAACCCCTCTTAAAAACATGTTGAGGTGAATTGGAGTCGCCAAATTGTCTGTAGATGCGAGTGGTGTGTGTGCCCTGCGATGGATTGGAGATTTATAAGAACATAAGAACATAAGAAATTTACAAACGAGAGGAGGCCATTCGGCCCATCAAGCTCGTTTGGGGAGAACTTAACTAATAGCTCAGAGTTGTTAAAATCTTATCTAGCTCTGATTTAAAGGAACCCAGGGTTTTAGCTTCCACTACACTAGCAGGAAGACTATTCCATACTCTAACTACACGCTGTGTAAAGAAGTGCTTCCTGAAATTTGTTTTAAAATGTTCTCCCGCTAATTTGGTTTATTGCCTGCCTTGCACCCAGCATAGGACAAGTGGTTATGGAAAATGAATGAATGAATGAATGAATGAATCAGTGAATGAAAGGATAATATAATTTGAATTAAAAAAAAATGGTGGCTCAGTGGTTAATAATGTAGCCTGTGGGACTGGGAGTTAAAATTAGTTTCTCTGTACGAAGTTTCCATGTTCTGCCTATGTTATGCTGGATTCACCTTGGTTTCCCGGTTTCTTCCTGCAGTTGTAACGCATGTAGATGATGAATTGGTGACTCTGTGAATGGGTAACCCCTATGTTGTACCCTGTACTTCCAATGATGGGTCCTAGCTCACATCTGTGGTGGATAATATTATGATTTTATGGAGTATTATAAGGTGGCATAAAAATGACTGTCTCATATCCCTTTTTCAGAAAGAATGTGGAAAAGAGGTATCTTTTAGACAACCTGGACGGTGTGTACCTTGTGGTGGATGAAATCATTGACGGAGGGTAAGTGGAGAAATGTGGAGGTATTTGAAAAGGAGAGATGCATTTGCATGGAATAAGAATTGTGTTATGCTCGTGATCCAAAGTCTTTGACTGATTGTTGGGTACTGTTTGTTGCCAGGATAATCTTGGAGAGTGATCCACAACAAGTCATTCAGAAGGTCAATTACAGAGTAAGTGATACAAAACTGCCTTACGATTGGCCAGTCCTGTGCAAAATAAAGTTGTTTTATTTCCTAATATGGTACTACTATAACTTTAAAACATATAAATGAAATATAACCAATACAGCTCTGAAAAAATTGAGACCACTCCATATTTAAAAAAAAAAAAAATCTGCATGTTTTAATCCTGGTTCTGCTGGCTGAAGGCTACACTGAGTTCCAGGCTCAAAATTTCTCAGAGAGCAATGCACAAGAACAAGGTGAAACAGAATATACTGTGAGCAACCAAACACCAGCCAGGTAGAGGAGGGAAGTGACTTTGTAATGGCAGAGATGACAATCAACTTATCTGACAGTTTCTCATGAATCTTAGGATGACCTCAAGTGACCTTCAAAAAGAATAGGAAACATTAAGTAGTGTGAAGTGCACTGCTAGGACAGTTCGTAAGAGCTTCCTAGAGACAGGACTGAAGACCCATAAAGCAAGAAAAAAGCCGTTCATCAACGAGAAGCAGGGAAGAGCCAGGCTGGGGAAAAAATACATATTTTATAAGACTCATAGCCATAAACTGAGAAATGAGTGAAACTCAAATTTTGCTCTGATCTCTAATTTTTCTGGAGCTGTATAAATACATAGTAGTATTTTCTCTTCTGACATTTTAAAGGAATATTTAAAAAATGATTTTTGTTACCTGATTTATTATTTTGTTTTCTCTGTAAAAGTTTGTTTTGCATAGAGCAAACCATAAACCATAGTCATGTGCCCTACTATGCACCGTATGAATCTAAATTAGGCGTTTTTGAGTTTTCTGTTTTATTTTCTTGAAAGTATTTGAAGTATGTTCTACAATGAGGGGAAAAAGTAATAGTCCCCAAAACTGCTTTGTAAGCGATGTAACTTTCTAAATGACTGTACACTATATTGTGGAACGTGAACCAGCGTTGCTGCTAGTCTGAGTAGCATAGGCTGGCAGCAACCATGTCGAGGCGAAACTCCATCCCCTGTTTAGCCCTTTTGGTCTCTGCCCTCTTTTCTTACTTTTCTGTTCTCCTTCTTCTGTCTCTGGACCAATGGGCCACCCCAATGACCTCTGTCCATCTCCATACCCCAGACTGTTTCCGAGCCAGCTTACGGCTTTGTCCTCTTTGATTACATCACTGGTAACACTGAGGGCCAAGGGGACAAGAGCCAGAATGTATAGCCAATGAGAGGCAGCAAGAAAAGAGAGGGGAGGGTAGAGCAGGTAATGGCATATGAGCCACTAAAGGGCCATGGTAACTCAGTCACTCTTTGTGGGTTTTCTGTAACGTTAATATCAAATGAATGCATTTTCAGAGTTGATAGTGTGCTTCAGAGGTGGATAATTCAGGTCCAGAAAGTAAACATCCTCACCAAGATTTTGTTTCAACCAACCAGTTGAGTAGTCTATGACTGTGACTCTTTATACTCAACTGGTTGGTTGAAACAAAATCTGAGTCTGGATGTTTACTTTCTGGACCTGAACTTTCTACCGCTGGTGTGGTTTGTATTTTTGGTTGGTCAAAAAATAAAACACCAAAAGAATGCGCAAATTGAAATAAAAGCATGGCTTGCTTGTGTGATACTGTGTGCCGATACGTTTATGGCTGTATGCACTTTTATTCTTTAACTGCGCAATGTTACATTCAGCTATTTAATACCAATAATCTAATATTTAACTATAATTGCCAAAAAATGCTTGTCCAAAGAAAAGAATGTTAGATAACTGCCAATGTGGAGAAACTATGTTTGTCTTACCTTCCACCCCGATGGTTTGGCTGGACTGCTTCTGAATGCTTGACTGCATCTTGTCTCCTATTTTTCCTGTTTTGTGTTTTTTTTTCTATCTGAGTGGTCCTACACCTGTACAGCCTGCTGATGTCATTTCCAGGAATTTGTCAATGTAATCCACAATTACAGAAAATGATAGAACATTTTATAAGAAGATAAATAATAATAGCGTTACCTTTTTTATCTGTGTATGAATGTATGTGGTTGTGATCCATTTATATGTGACTGGCAGCCTTTTCCATCTGTCTGTTCTCTTGTTTTAGGTGGATGAAAACCCCTTGTCAGAGCAAAGTGTAGCTCAGGTAGGATATGATTAACATATCCCCAGATTTGACCTTGCCTTGTATATTTATTAAATACCTTTTGAACTTCCTACTTATCATGCGACCATTGTCCCCGGTTTTGACTTCCAATCTGCCATCCTTAGTATGCGAGTTCGGCCTACTCCGTATATGTCAGCAGTAACAGGCACAGACTTTTCAAGGGCCAGTTGCTCAAAGGGAGGGGGAGGGACTTTTTACTGGCCTCGGTAAGTTTTTTTGTGATCGGGGGGGGGGTCCTCCTCCAGAGATTTTGTGTGATTGAGCAGCAGAACATCAAAGGGGGGGGGACTTTCATTTGTTAAGGCGAAAGGTGCAGGTGCTCAGACACCCCCAGACTCCACTGTCTCCTTAACCCGATAAGTGATTATTGAAATTCAAAATGGGTTTCTGGATTACTTTAACAGTTTTTATTCAACTCCAAATATACTGTGAGCTTTCTAACTTGAGTATGATCAATATTACCCATCCATCTTCTGGCAGTGAGTCAAGGTGAGCCCTGTGCCAGTTCCAAGAAGTGCACAGAGTCCTGAGTGTCTGTAGTAAATGCATGTGACCATGGGGAGAATATGCAACCTCCATAGACACTAAGCCAGTGGTGGGAATCCAACCCCCAACCTGGGGCTGTGAAGCCGCAGTGCTAACCGTCGAGCCTCTTAATGACCCTGCATGGTCAATATTATCTTCCAACCACTTATGCAGTGCAGAGTCTCATTCATCACTGGCTACTAATGGATGTGATTCCTAAGTTAATGTTGTAAAACAGTTTGCCATTCAAAATCAGTGACTGATGCTTTTTTTTTACCTGTTTTTTTGTTACCTAACCACATTAAAATAGCTTTTCTTTTTGTTTACTTCCATATCTTCTGCTGTTCATTGTTTATATGTACTCACCCCTCTTTTTTTCTCTGTTTTTTTTAAATTAATCATTGCATTTGCTAGCCAAAGTCTGGCTCACTGTTTCTTAACTCCTTTCAATTTTGCAGCCACCAGAATGTAATTGGGCATGAATGGATGTAGACTCACTGCTGAATGCTTTTCATAACCTGTAATTACCTGTGGGCTCCTCCGTCTTCTGACATTAACCCTACAATCTAACTTCTGTACAGCATATTTCGCAGAAACTGGCAGTGACGTCCACTGTAAGTCCTCCTTTATGATTAGTAGAGATCCACCACATCCAAGTAGAATCTGTTAATTAATTGTGCTAGATTCTACACACACACACACACACACACATATGTGTGTGTGTATGTATGCGTGTAAGTGTGAATATATATATGTGTGTGTGTGTGTGTGTGTATGTGTATGTGTGTGTGTGTATATATATATATATATATATATATATACACACACACACACACACACATAATATCAGAGCCTTCACACTCCCTCTATCTGCCAGAACAAAAATATGTTAGGTTTGTGTTTAGCACAATCTTGAGAGTATTGCATTTCTCCCCCTTGTGGTTAATTTCTGCACAAACACTGAAAGAAAATTATTTTAAATTGTGTTGTTTTCGGGACATGTTTTAAGCAATCAAATGTTGTGCAAAGGTATATTTACTTATGAAAAACAGAATGTACAAATTACTTCATAAAGAGTTAATTTCAGTGCGTAATATTAGTTTGCAATGTATTACAAACGTGAAAGGAAATGCAATGAAAGCTGATGAAGTTTTGTCTGTTTTGTCTTAATTTCGTTTTAAACTGAAAAATGGGACCTTCAGTTCTGCATGAAATATAGTGATATTGGTTATTTTGGCAATTGACCTGCCAGCTCGTTTGTAACTTTTATTGCTTCCAAGCAAGTGCTGTTACATCAAATACTTTATTACATTTTTGTGCCATTAACTGGGAATAGAAGTAATTTCATTTTAAACAGATACTAACTGATGCTATAATACAGTATTTATATTAAGTAAGATATATCTTATGGTTAAATTATGAATTATAAAGGTGATTCACATATTTAAATATAAATATTAGAAACAAAATTCTAAAAAATTAAGAAAATCAGATAACATTTGACAATGAACTCTGATATAGCTACATTTCAGTCTAGGTTTTTTGATAAAAACAAATTTAAAACGATAATTAAAACTATTTAAATTTTCTTTTCAGTTTTAGCTTGAATGTGTTGTATTTCGGAAGGTGTAAACCACCTAGTGAAGCAATCTAACTGCTCACCAATTATTAGAAGCGCAGTGCCATCTACAGGCCACTTGCTTTACCACACGTCAGTAAACTCTTGAAACAATACTGAATATCATATTGGTAATGAGTATTAAAATTGTAATACTAGCGTTTTTCTTTGATTTATTACTAAAATATTTTTTTTTCAGGTTTTGCAGTCCGCGAAGGAACAAATCAAATGGTCGATACTGAAGTAAACGTGGAACAGAAGTGGCTCTAATTCGTCGTGCAATAAAAATGTGTGTGTGCCTTCGCTTTTATGTGCATTTATTGGGGCTGCGTATGTTTTTCATATTATAGTATATAACCGAGCAGCAAAGACAGATTTGTTGAAGCAAACTATATAAATTTCTGTGTTCCAGTCACAGGTTCAGCTATTTCTTGTGATTTTTCCCCCATTGTTTTTTTACGACAAAACTGTTACAGTCATTTATTACCGAATGTTACACACAACTAGCCTAATTCGACTGTTTATGTTGAAATAAACTACCTTATTAACAACACTAACGAAGTGCTGATCAGTAATTAGTCTTACCACTACTTTCATTTATATATATATCTCCATTTTCTACTTTTAGAATTTTTTAGCTAAAAAAACAAGTAAATATTGAGTGCCAGTCAATATTTGTTAGTTAAATGCTTAGAGAATCGCACATAGACCAGGCATTAAAGTAACAGTGATTGTTTTTAATATAACGTTATTAAATCTTCTTTGCGGGTAATTTAAAATTTAATAGCTTTAAATAAAGGGGTTTTCTTGTAAATGCAACCGATTTCATATGTAGTTGTCGGTGTATTTTTTGCCTTGGTTTCCGTGAAAACAATAAAGAGTGGTTTATACCTAAAATGGCTGCCGTTAAATTATTTTAAATGCAAAATGACATTTTGCATATTTCTGAAACGGGATACATAAAGTTATAATCGGTGTAGATCTACGAAAGGCAATCTATTCCAACCAATCATTTTTCCTTCATGTACCATTGATATGGTAATGATCCTTCTACATATTTGCATATTTGAAGGAGGGGAAAAATGGCCATTATTTTGATTGGTAGAGTAGTGACGTGATTCCGACACGTAACGTAGTCTCCTCCTCTAATAAAGAACCTATAGGATGCGTCCTAGATGGAAGCGGGGTCAACGATACGATAGCCCCCACAGTGGGCGGAGTTTAGACAACACTGAGGCAGACCTTAAGCATATTATGGAACGCTACTTATCACTAAAAGAGCTGTTGAGTAATTTTGAGAAATTGTAACTCCCTCTCCCACACGTATGTAAAAATTAATATTTCCTAACTAGATTGTTTAAATTTAAAATAATCTTTAAATGTTATATTGGATATCACAAAATTATTATTTAAAATATTATTGGTGCCATGGGCAAAGAATGATAAGAATAAAACTTAAATATTCGTTGTTTTCCACAATATTGCGTTCTTTTGAGTGATTTTAAAAGCATTTATTCTTATAAATTATATATTCATAATTACAACACACTAAAATACTTTAACATGAAGATTATTTATTATAATTACTACTTTAATCTATTGGTTCTTACTGTGTCTTATAATAACGACCTGACGTGTTAGGAAAAGATCATCTTAATGTATTTCATTAAAAGCGAATTCTAATTTCTTAATTTTGAGCAACCTTGGTTTCATTGGATTTTCGTTCGTATAATCAGGTAACACACGGTTTCATGGCTTTGGATGATTATTATTATTTTATATTACAATTGAATGTTATGGTTACATTTTATCATTCACATGTTCCTTAAGGCTTAAATATTATTTCAAAAATTCTGTCAATGTACAAGCAAAACAGATAAATGCCAAACGTGACGACTTTCCGTAAACGTTCCATGAATTAACGATCGCGTTTGACTTTGAGTTGGTTGAACAGTACGTATTCATTTTTATTGGTATTTTATTATTAAATTTGTATATACGGACCCCGGCGACCACGAATAGGACAAGTGAGTACAGCAAATGGATGGATGGATAAATTTTATATATACAAGATGATATATATATATGTGTGTGTGTGTGTGTGTGTGTGTGTGTATATATATACATACACACACACACGCGAACATATTATCCATCTTCCATCAGCTTATCATGACCAGGGTTTCGGGGGCTAATATACTAGTTCTATAATAATAATAATAATAATAATTATTATTATTATTATTATTATTATTGTTGTTGTTGTAAAAACATCAGGGATCCAGCAGCTATGCTGCTAGGCTCCAAGTAATAGAGGCCCTTTGACCATTCGAGAACGAAGTGGCAGCGCTGAAAATAGAACTACCGCGCCACCTGGTGGCCATAAAGCTTAATTATGAACTGCTGGAGCAAAGGTGTTCTACTTGCGCTACTCACGTTAGTTGATTTCCAAACATGAGTAAAACATCTTAAATAAAAACGACTATAATAGCATCAAGAAAATGAATTCGAAATATTTTTATGATATTGTAACATCAAAATATAGGCCTAGATGTATTAAATGGTCAAGGGAAGCAGAAAACATTTCATTTACACTGTAATCACAATAATGACCACGGGGATACGTAAACGTAGTCAAGGCATAAGCAATAGACGTAAGAGATATCGGCATTTAACATAGCATTTTAGTACCACGGCGGTGACTAAACAGAAAAATCCATTTCAGGACAAGGCGTACTGTAAAGAGGTTAATGTGTCTAAATTACAATTTTCCCATAATACGTCCCAACGAAAACAGATAAATTTATGGCGTATAACAATTCATAAACAGTAATTATATTTCCAGTGAAACTCTATACCGCTTATCCAGTACAGAATAGCGGTGAACCTGGAACATCCTCGAGGCAGCAAAAGACACAAGTGAGGCGAATACCCTGGACAGGATGGCAGTACAGGGACTTTTATGATCTCAATAAGTACAAATACAAATATAATTATATATAATTTGAAAAATATAACGTCAGTTCCTAATGTGTCTTGCTTTGAAATAAATTCGTATTGATCTGCCCTCGCTGTGATTTATTAGTTTCAATAAGTTTTCAATGAGCACCTCAAAAAGAAATAACTAGATATACTGTCCACCCAACCACTGTTTGAGAGGTAGAAAAACATTCAAGAATGTCACTAAGGAGAATGTATTAATTGTTTTAAATGACACACGAATATGAATGTTTCTACGTCAACACCCAAATTAATACCCCTAAATACGTCCTACGTGTATGGGAAAGGTGTTTAGTTCACGATGATGTTTAATAAAAGGAAAATGTTTTGATTAACAGCATCATATTATTACGCAGCAAATTCTTTGTTAATGCCTTGTTAATACCTTAATAATCCAAAGAAAAAAAGACATGTACACTATATATTGCACCAGCAATATATTTACGTAATATGCCCGGGAAAAAATGTCTTCAGATGCCCCCCCATGACGCCCTCTCCTGGCACAACTTCCCCAGTTTCCCAGCCGAAACTGCATGCCTCCCTAACTTATTACATAACGGCATTTTCCAAATCTCCATCTGATTTCAAAAGTAAAATTGGCGGTAATTGAATAAAGGCCAATTTTTTTAGGAATTGTCGAATTAAACCCATTATTAAGGGTAATATTTAAGTATGTGTGTGGAAATGTGAATGATAATGTTATTGTCCATTTCTTCAATGTGGTCCTGAAACATACGCAAGATACAATTAATTATGATTCCTTTACGCCCCCTACCGTCAACATTAGGGATATTACGACGCCGCTTTATCCATATTCCAATATTCTGTGACAGGGCAGTGCAGGGGAAGGTTTTGAGGGGTAGGTGCTGAAAAGGTTTAAAAACACTCAATACACTCAATACTTTAAAATAATACTTTAATACTTTAAAGTTCATGTGAATGGGCAGGTGGTGAGACATCCCCAGCCACGCCCCCCCAGGCACGTGCCTTATCTGTGGTGACCTACGACCTACATGTACGCTCATGCATTGAGCTGCCATTTCAATGATGGTTCTTTAACGATAATACTCCAAAATAACTGTTAGCATGCATTAACACTCTGCAGATGGGAAAATAGGTTTAAAATATTCTTGGTACATAGCCGGGTTACAGCGATACTAACTGCCCAAGTCTCTGCAAATGCTGAACGGATGGATTGTTTAAAAAATGAAGGTACTGCCACTGAGTTTTATATTGTATACAACATAAAATATTTACAGGGCAACTGAGCGCTTTTGTCGTTATTCTTCTGAGCCAATCTTTGGGATTGGGAAAAGGAAAGAGGCCATTTGCAAAAAAGTTTAGCCATTTTCCTTACAAATAGAATAGTTGCGTTGGTGTAGTAAATGTGAAGGTATGACACGCCCGTCCGTTTTTACGATTTTGTGAAAATAATTAACTACGTGAATAAAAATAATTCTTTAATTAAATCGCTGAATTCTGACATTAACTGAACTTAATCATTTTCACTCTTTTCCGAAGTATTCCCCTTTCCTGGAGTTGTAAATGGGCGTCAAACTAGTGTGAAACATTCTAAGACGCACTTGAAAATGTGTACAGCAGACCTTTACTAAAATCCCAGGGGAGCTTTAAAAAGCAGCGCCAACCACTTGACCAGTGTGAATCAAATGCGTTTAAGCACCGTAAATAATTGTGATTTTTAAAGTTAGTTTATTTCAACACGATTTAATTTTTATGACGGCATACATGTGCCTAATCTGGAACGAATTAGCAGCTCACAATAAGCATCAGACCTTCCTAGTGTGCTTCCCAGACTTAAATCAGGCGTGTCGCTTCTTTGGTATTTATAAGCGTGTACCAAACACAGCCTTTACACTATTGGATAGAACCGAAGTCCCATGGCTCCACAGGATTGGTCTACTATGTGACATTGACAGATGGTCATTCAGTTTATTGGCTAGAAAGAAAATGATGTCATCGCCAAACTAAGCAATCGAATCTGTGTGTGTGTGTGTGTGTGTGTGTGTGTGTGTGTGTGTG